GCATATGAACTTCGCGCTATGCTGGGGCACATGGTATGAGAAAGAAATGTTCTCAGGTTGACCTTGAAGGTGTTGAGAAAGTCATAGCATGAGTATCAGATGGCAGGATAACTAAAAGATGCTTCCCCATCTCTGGCATTTATAAGAGGCATAAAAAACAATGACAAGCTGATTATGTGACTCAGAATAAAATCCCACACAGGAATACAAAGAAGTAGGAAATTCAGTACATGTCTCCCATCAAGGTTAGTAAAAATCTCATAGATAGATCATCACACTAAGTGCACTAAATCATCAGCTTGAAAGACGGTTTATTTCATAGTTACAGACTGCAGTTCCGTCCTTGCGTAGGGGATTGACAGCTGCTCCTCCCATTAGTATTAATGAATTACGAACGTACATCCCACACACATCCACCAAGGAACCGAAGACATCCCTCCTACGCACTACCTTGTTTTGAATTCCCCAAATGTTGTAGGATGGCTATTTCCTTAATAAGGGTAAATCATCAAATAAAGCACATGTTTCACTCCCATGGTTAAAACTGATGCCTTACAGAAATTACCGAGGGATTGTAACTTTACTCATTTATTAAAAGAGATTGAATTATCTCACACCTCTCTGTCATCTAAAGAGTGTGTATGACTATTAAGGAAGTGTAACGCTACTGCTAGGATCTTTAATGTAAAAGGAAAAGCAGTTCAGAATGACCATGGCACTGGTGAAAACTTTTCCCCTCCTGAAAGACCTCTAATAATGCCTTCCAAGCCAGGCCAGACAAAAACAACATGATGACCACATGTGCTAGCAATCGTCAGTTGTGACTCGCCGCGTCTCAGTTTATAGCTTTTATCCTGGCATAGTTACTAATTACTACGCATTTAATTCTTAAAAGGTCCAGTTTGGATTGAACATCATGTGTTAATCCAGTTTGGGGGGATGTTTCTTATATAACCACGCCCCCTTCCTCAAGCACCTGAGACAACTGTATTATTTTATGTATTTTGTATTCTTGCCTCTTTTTTTTTTTAATTTTAAAATTAAAAGGAGGAAAATATTAACAGACACACAACATTTTACAAAATAAAAAAGGAACAGTTAAGACAGTACGGAGTTACAAACAAAGTGGTAGGGAATTAACAATGCTTGTTGTATTACATATTGATATCTTCAAAGTGGTTTCTCATGAAAACAGATATTGACATGCAATGCTTATCAACCAAGGACTCACTGACAGTTTCTTTCAGCAAGGAAATACAAGACAGTAGAACAGCCATGTTGACTATCCTGCATATACATACATACACACTTTCTCCTTCTTTCCCTTCTCGTTTCCCACATCCCAGTTGCCCTTTACCCTTGAGTGCTTTCTTATCATTTCACAATGTC